CCATCTGGTTGAGGTCTTGTATCGCGTAGATATTCGCGCATGTCCAAATCTTTCATATTGATGGATGTTTTTCCTTTGCCATCGCGCGGGACGACAGACTTGGTGCGCAAACTAGTGTTATAACAACTGTGCGTTGCCTTTTGATCGCTTCCAAGGGCAACGATAGCGCCAGAAGAATCGCGAAATTTCATCAAGAGATGAGGCATGGAAATGATTGCCTTTAAAGAGGCAATGGTTGGTATTTCTAAGATAACATTATATGCTGATGCATATTCAATAACGTAAAAATGTACTTTGATAGTACGTGCCAATGGCATGACACCAAAAGTTACCCACATTTCAATGGTACCTTTGGATTGCACGCACTCTCCAGAAAAACCAATTAAATCCGAACATCCAGAAATTAGATATTCTTCTGGGATATTCATCGCGCGAAAAGCATCCCAGAAAATAATGTCGGCAGAACTGCCGTTATCAATCATAATATGTTTTACCTGGAGATTGGCCATGCAAGCAGAGATCACTAGTGGGTCGTCATGATTAGGAATGATGTCGCCATAGTCATCGTCATCAAAGCTTATGGACTGCCATTTGAAATTGGATGTGGAAGGTTCTGCATGATCACGAACTGTCATTACGGACTTCAAGTGCTTTTTGCGTTGTGAACTAGTCGCGCCACCTCTCGCAATTCCGCCAACAATGATAGCTAATACTCCTGCCGCGTTATTGGGCAATTGGCGCTGCAGCTGTTGTGCGCCGTGCTGTCTATTCCGTGGTGGAGTTCCTTGGCGTCTATCCGTAGGATCGTCACGCGCGTTCCTACGATCATTATTTTGGGCGATATTATAATCTCTCCTGGGATATGCCCTTAACCGGTTAGGATTTTGATCGTGATCTGAGCTTCTATCACGCCTTCTTTGTGCTTTATATTCCCTGCAACTAGAAATAAATCCCTGGAGCTTCCCAGCTCTGATAAGTGTTTCGATTGTATTTTTCAAATCAAAACACTCATCAGTGGTATGTCCTGTATCACTATGAAATTCGCAGAATTTGGTTTCATCGCGCAGGTCTCCTTTTTTCAATGGTGGAGGTTTGTTAACGCGTACGTAACCCGTTTGAAAGACTTCCTTCAAAATTCGTCTTCGGGATGTGTTCAAGGGAGTATAATTATTGAACCTCTCCCAATTTCTCTTGTCGCAGAATTTTCTTTGAAAATTCTTTTGAACATCCCTCTCAAAGTTATCTACCTCCATTTTAATGTTGGAAATATCCTGCGACCGTTTATAATCCTCTAGATTAATGAATTTTTCTGATTGCGCTCGTAGTTCTTATATGGTCCGCGAACGTTGTTTGGCCAACGACATAGAGAAAGGACCTTCCAATAATCCTTCAATGATGAGATGTAAGGAGACTTGTGGATCTAGGTCCCGCGCTTCATCAAAGAATCTGTTGAGGTAATCGCGCAATGTTTCGTGTGGTCCTTGTCATACAGTTTTCAATGCATGTGTGGATTTGTATTGCGCTTTACTTGTTGCAAACCGGATAAGGAATTGGCTAGTTAAATCTTTCCAACTTTGGACTGAATTGGGTGGTAACGCGGAGTACCACCTAAGTGCTACCTTTTTCAGGGTTGTTGGGATTAACCGACATGCTATTGAGTCGGCTACATCTTGTGCCATCATGTTGGTCTGGAATTGCTCCAGATGCTCTTGCGGGTCTCCCTTCCCGGTGTACTTCTCAGTTGTAATTTTTACGTCTCTAAGAATAGGGAGGTTCATGATACATGGGGTAAATGGATGAAAAATTCGAGAAACTGTTCTAGAATTCCCATGAGAGTTTTCGTTCTCGTTAGTGTCTTTCATTTCTTCACCTTTTTTATTTTTGTGACCTGATGGTTCAGGATCTCCTGTTGAATGTTCCTGCATCGGCTCGCTTTCACCGGAAATTTCAAGATCTTTTTCTTTCTCGAGCTCTTTTTCTTTTTCTTTTCCTTTTCCCTGTTTTTTCTTTAGCCTTTTGTGCTTTTTTCAATCGAGCTAAATCTCGATTCTGTTGGGCAATCTTTTTATTCTGCTGCGTGATAAGGTTTAGCAAGTGTTGGGTCGTTGGAGGGTTATCTTGATGCACAGAAAGTGGTGCCACCGACGAGGCTGATTTTTCGCGGGAGGCAGGGGTCTCCTTCTGCTTTCCTTTGGAGCCATTCTGGGATTTGCTTCCGGTATCAATCATGTTTTTAAATTGAGAAAGGATGGGTTCTAAATGATAGATCCCACAGACGGCACCAATGATCAGATCAAATACAATATGGACTAGCCAATGTATATCAGGCCTAATCACACACGGTTGATGTGGTGAAGATACTTCTTCTTCTTGGGCTTGAGGTTGCTGATAATAAAATCTGGACTTTGATCCTTCGTTAGCGTGATCCTTGAGCCTTGATAGGGGGTACCTGCGATGACACTCCGATGCTTAAATCAGTATCAGTTGCAGGTGTAAGTATATTCTTTATGAATTAGATGATCTGGGCTGGTACCCCTTGCTTATATAGTAGTTGTGATGCCGCCTTGAGAAGGAGGTATGGCCTCTAATTGGCCATTTTCGAGCTGCAGGTTTGGCTAGAGCGTTAATAGCCTTATCTCTTACTGCCAAGCTACCCTGCTAGACTAGCGGCAAGCTGGTGCTGTCCTCTACGTATTTGTACAAAGACGCAGTGGGTTCGTATTAGTTCTTGAGGTTACTTCCTTACTTATATTTGGGTGGTTTCGTGCGCGATGGGTGCACCACATCACGCTATGCGCGATAGTGGTCATCGCGCTTTGTTCTGGGTCTTCATGAGATTGGGCTTCGCCGTAAGTTTTTGGGGCTTCAATGAATCTACTATATTTTATCCAGATCAGGTACCATATAATTTTAAGCTATTACTTTGATAAATTCATCTTAATGTAAACACGCATGGATGCTAAAGTGCATAATATCAAACATCTTCAAGAATTGAAGTATTTTTATTTATTTTTTAATTGATGATGAAAAATCATTCTTTTATCTAGAATGAATACATTAAAGCCTAACAGTTTAATTGGCTGTATGTCTACTTACATAAACAAGACATGTCTCTTGCAAGCTCCTCGCTTTGTCTTTTGCCATTTGACATTTAGTAATAGGATCATAGTTTTTGCAGATTAGGCAGTGATAACTTATTTGGTGTTTTAAAGTACAATAAGATAAAAGGATAACATCATACCTGAATTGTAAGCATTTAATTTCTAGACTAATTTTGGATGCATGCAATCAATTTATTTTGATATCTGAACTTTACAAGGTGATATATACCCTCAAGATGCCAATCCAAGCGAGAGGGGGAGGAGGGGTCATCGTCAGGCATCTCTGTCATTATCATCATCATCATCTTATAGCATCATGTAATTAATAAGTAAGCAACTACCAATATATATAAGAACATATATTAATGCTTAAGGTAAAAAAATAAACATAGTGATTCCTAAAATAAAAGTGAGACAATGAGAGAAGATACAATTAATTAGTACCAGCATGGAGTATATATATCTATAAATTAAGATTAATAGCAAAGTCAACAAAGTTTTAATAATCTAACAACTCAAGTCACATTATAATACAGTATTTATCTATATCCTTTACCATCATCTCTTTGTTTTCATTCCCTAAAAAAATATTTTGTTTGTTATCTTTCTTTTAGAATGATCTGATTGCCATTCAGTGACTGAGGATTCCTCACCCACATATTTTATGTGTGGGAATTTATGTTCTATCCTTTCCAAAGCAACTTATGCGATTAAACTAGACACATATGCCTGGCTTTTGCATAAAAACTCATAAGGGAATAATAATTCATTGGAAATATGGAGCCGCAATAAGCTTTGTCGGTGTCAGTTCATAGATATTTACTGAATTGATTTCTTAAGTTTATAAACAACCAATTCAAACTATATTAATGATTTTATATTTCTTTAATATATTCCCTTAGACAAGAGTTCAATGAATTTGAAGGATAAAAAAACTCTATAATACTTAATTATTAATTAAATAGGAAATAATAAGAATCGAACTTGTGACCACTTAATTATTAAGGTTCTAATTCTATGGAAAGAACCATTTCAACCAAAAGCTTAAGCTGCGTAATGCTACATTAATAATTTTATATTTCTTTAACATAACTCTTTCTTTTTTATTAACATTATTTTAATATTATCCACCGAACTCTATTATGCACAAACAACTATATATGTAAGTCTATTTGAGTTAAAGTCGTTCGTTTATATCACTTCAAAATTATATATAAAATTTTCGTATGAGTCATAAGTTCTGTACTGATCTGTCTTGGGGTTCAGTATATAATTATATCAAATATTGTTTATTTGAAAAAAATATATTTATTTTCTTACTTTGATATTTATAGAAATAAATAATACAAAAGCCGTACACTGAAAAAGAAAAATAAGCATAATTCTTTAAATAATAGAATTTTCAAAGTGTGTATATACTAATATTCGAAGTAAAGAAAATAAATGCATTTTCCAAATAAAAATAAAATATCAAATGTAATTATGGAAAACCTAAGAAAATATAACTGTAATTACCCTTAAAAAATAAGAACAGCTCGATCACACCTTTTATTGGAATGTGTCAACCATTTTGTGCAGGCTATAAGAGAAGGTAAATAAACAATAGATATATAAAATCTCTAACACAACCACACAAAGTCTCTGTACTCCAATATACATATATATATATATATACATATGCTGTAATACACAAGCAAAGTAATTAAAAATACTAGAGATGACAAGTTAAGACAATGACCCCATATAAAATTTCCAAATCATGGTTTTGTGTTGGCCATTTCTGAGAGCAAAAGAGATATGAATTTCTCTTATCACAGGTTCCTTTTGAGTTCAAAGAGTGTCCCAGAGTCAAAGGGGACCAAGTCCATTGATTGTTCACAATCCACACCATAAGAAAATATGGACATTAGTCCTTACATTTCAAAGAAAAAACACTTCAATATTGGTCATATTGAAGCAGCAGCCATAGACATGCACCGAGGCAACCATCCCCAACACAGTAGTCACACGTCAACAAGCCGTTCTTCTGATTCCAGCGAGCCATGTGAGGATGGAAAATGGGCCTCAAAACTTCTGAGGGAGTGTGCTAAAGCAATATCAGAGAGAGACTCAAGCAAAATCCAACATCTTCTATGGATGTTAAACGAGCTCTCTTCTCCCTATGGTGACAGTGATCAGAAATTAGCTTATTACTTCTTGCAAGCTCTATTTTGCAAGGCCACAGAATCTGGCCTAAGATGCTATAAGACTCTCTCCTCAGTTGCTGAGAAAAACAACAACTTCGATTCAGCAAGAAAGTTAATACTCAAGTTTCAAGAGGTAAGTCCTTGGACAACTTTTGGACATGTGGCTTCAAATGGTGCCATATTAGAAGCCTTAGAAGGAGAGACTAAACTTCACATAATTGATATTAGCAACACCCTTTGCACTCAGTGGCCTACTCTTTTGGAAGCCTTGGCCACAAGAAATGATGAAACTCCTCACTTGAAGCTCACGGTTGTTGTTGTAACTGCCAACATAGTAGGATCCGTCATGAATGAAGTTGGACAAAGAATGGAGAAGTTTGCAAGGCTAATGGGTGTTCCCTTTGAATTTAATGTGATTAGTGGGTTGAATCATCTAGGAGAGCTCACAAAAGAAGGGTTAGGAGTTCAAGAAGATGAGGCTATTGCTGTGAATTGTATTGGGGCATTGAGAAGAGTTGAAGTTGAAGACAGAGAAGCTGTGATTAGCATGTTCAAATCTCTTAGTCCAAGAGTGGTGACAGTTGTTGAGGAAGAAGCTGATTTTTGCAGCTCAAGAGATGACTTTGTGAAGAGTTTTGATGAGTGTCTTAAGTTTTACACACTCTACTTTGAGACGCTAGAGGAAAGCTTTCCCCCAACAAGTAATGAGAGATTGATGTTAGAAAGGGAGTGTTCAAGGAGCATAGTTAGGGTTTTGGCTTGTAGTAGTGATGAATTTGAAGATGGTGAAGGTGATTATTATTGTGAGAGAAGGGAGAGAGGAATCCAATGGTTTGAAAGGCTTAAGAATGCATTCACCTCAATTGGATTCAGTGATGATGTTGTTGATGATGTCAAAGCATTGCTCAAGAGGTACCGAGGAGGGTGGTCACTTGTGGTGCCTCAAGGAGATGATCATCTCTCAGGAATTTACTTGACATGGAAGGAGGAACCAGTAGTTTGGGCATCAGCATGGAAACCCTAGCTATTCCTATTTGAATTGAATAATATATGTATATCTACTGTTTGTTTCTGTTAAAGTGCCATTGATATACATATATATATATATATATATATATATATATATATATATATATATATATATATATATATGATCATATATGGTAGCTAGCTAGCTAGCTATATAAGCCTTATACCCAAGGGACTTATGAGTAGTACACTAGCTAGCTAGAAATGAAGGATATGGCTTGCTTTGTGGATAGAAATTAGCAATGGATGTATATGGAAACCGATCTGGATTTTCCTTTTAACTTTCTCTCCTGATTCTTGCATACTTTGTAATCTTTCTACTGTCCAATTTCACTAAATAGCCAGCTTTTTGCTTGGGAATTTGTGTTGTTATATGGGGCTCTTTGCACTTTTATTATAATTATAAGTTCGTTGTTCTTGTTTGAAGGTGTTTGCACTTGTGCTCTTTTTATGAATTCCATGGCTTCTCCTTTTTGCACTTTTATTACTTTCTTTTATTTCAGTGCATTGGTGCCTTGTCAGATTTTAAAGTGATCATATCTCAATAATGTGTTTTTTGCGCAAAGTATTTTATGCATAAACTTTACAAAGTTTAAGATAGGTACCATTGGAGGGATTAGAGGAGGAAAAAAGAAGAAGAAATAAATGTTAGTGATGAAAAATTTGTGATGATTAATAAGAAAACTTCTTATATTAAGTTCCTTTATCATAAAAATTGTGTTTATCTCTTTACCTCTACCATAGGTAATGGTCCTATTATTAGAAAGTGTCCTATCATACGAAATTGCACTATTATTTTTTGACCGATCAATTATATTAACATGGATGAAATGGTTAGAAAAATACAATTGTCTCTCTACTTTTTTAATTTGTTCTTCTGATTATATTAGTAACATCTGAAAAAATTGAAAAAATGGTAAGAAAGGTGCAACAACTTTCTCTCTATTTTTAAAATTATTTTTCTAAAGAAATTTAAATTTTATAACAAGATGTGTTGTGGGCAATAAAATTTTATTTTATTTTATTGGTAGAAATGGGCAATAATTTTAATAATGTTACACTATCGTTTCAATTAAGTATGCATTTTAAATTTGTTTATTTTGTGTTTAAAATAACTCATAATTAAAAAAAATTCTTAAAATAAAAGTACTTTTTTACTAAAAAACAAACAAATCCAAACATGTATAGTATATAAGTCGATTGCTATCCGGTTCAAAAAAGAATAAAGTATAAATAAAAAAAATGAGTTTATTTTTTATACTGCACTTTGAAAACACACAATGCTCTCTACAGAAAGCATCATTCTCTTTATTTTTTTTCAAATAAAGGAAATAAATAATCGAAAGATTATGTATAATTACATCACGACATTAATATTATATTCAATCACTATCTCGTCATAGTAAATTAGTTTATGTTCTAAAAAGAACAAAACACGAAGATAAGCTAAAATCGCAATTAACATGAGATGTAGATTCTATTGATCATGATATATAGAAATTAATGGTTCCCGCGAGAGCACAACTCAGGCTTATGCAGTGACCTAATAACAAGAATAATATAAACACTTGCTGAATATGATAGCCATTATACATGGCATATTATATGGATACTTAGCTACTTATTATAAGATTTTAAAATGAAATGAAGGAGAAGGGGTAAGACATAGAGACAAGAACACATATGTAATGAATAAATGGTGATAGTTCAGTTGGTGCATGTGAGCTCAGTAGTGGAAAAGAAAGGATTTCGGTTCGATCTCTACATGTTACCTTTGGGAGAGACTTAAAATTGTTATCTCTAACCTGACTCAAAAAGTCGAAATTTGTGGAGATATCGATAAAGATAATTAGAGTATATATATATATATATATATATATATATATATATATATATATATAGGATCCGTTTACAATTTTTTTTTGCAAATTATACTAAGTACAACCGGTCGTACACTGCATGATTAAAGTATGACCGGTCATACTTAATGTAGTTTGTAAACAAAAAAGTTTGTAAATATAACCTGTCATACATATATATATATATATATATATATATGAGTGAGGATATTCTAACTACCAAAAAATTTTACTACTAACTTACTACCCATCACATCACCATTGGATCAAAGAGAGAGAATGTTAAAAAGTTTTTGAAGAGAGAGAAAATGTTAATCTAATGGTGATTAGATAGGTAGTAAGTTAATAGTAAAAAAATTTAGTAGTGAGAATATCCCTCCTCTATATCTATATATATATATATAGGGGTAGGATATTCTTACACCAGTGTAAGAGTTATAAGTCTTACACTCAATCTTGACCATTGATCCATTTGTATCAAATGGCTCACATTACTAAAAAAATTTGAACCCTTAGATATAAGTGGAATCAGTGGACAAGATTGAGAATGTAAGTTACACTGGTATAAAATGATCCTGATACATATATATATATATATATATATATATATATATATACATATATATAATGTGTGTTGGTACATGAATATATTCGAGATAGGCTCGAAAGAGTTCCGGATGTACCGTACAGTGACTCTAGCACCCTACCAAAGGCTTTCGCTTTAAAGGAAAGAAAGCAACTTGGTGGAAAGAGAGAACTCAGTGGCAAACATGGAAACGTACAAGTGCTATAACTTTCTAAAGTTATCACCGTCTCGAATTTTTTCCGTGGCCCACTTACCCATAGTTTTCCGTCCCTTATAATTTCACTTTGTTTAGCTAGCCTAATGGGATTGCTTTTCTAGCTGCAATTATATGATCAGTATATGATTATATGAATGATCTCTATACAATTTTTTTTTTTATTTCTCTTATGATTTATCAATTACTTGATTAATTCGGTTCAAATAAGATAAAATTAAAAGAAAGGAAAGTTCTTCCCTTACTGAATTTTGAACACAACTACATTTTTGACAGTATATATGTCCATTCTTTTTATTTTCAGTTATTATTATTTTTTGATGCATGATATTTTCCACCAAAAAAAACAAATTAAGTTAAATTGTCCAAATTAATTACTTGTTTACAATTGGGAGGTAGAATGAAAATAAAGAAGGGGGCCCATGAGAGACCTTGGTGGCTAGCAAGAGGGCTACCGACTGAATAGTAAGAGTGTGCCATTTGGTCCAATGATTTGAATAGCATATTTGCCTTTGATGACAGTGCTCTTGCCTTGCCTTGCTCTTTAATTTTTTATAGGCCAACATTATATAGTGGCAAGCAACTTTTTGGATTTAGATTGGACTTGTTGGTACTATTAGTACTCTTTTAAACTTACTTGCTTAACACACCCGTGGAATCACTTATATTCTTGGTTTCTCTCTTTCGTACACATAGATATATACATGCACAAGAACGCAAAACATAGCATTCACAAATTACATGCATGACAAGGAATGCATATTTACATATTTTCCGATCACTTATAACATTGCTTATTACCATGATTGCGTCAAATTAATGGTCTAGAAGAAGAACCTGAAGTAGCTTCGAAGGAGCATACTTACACAATTCAAACAATCAATAGAAGCCACGTGGGTGGGCGTGATGGTTCAGCATCTCGTCCCTTAAACAAGTTGTTGGGGGTTCGAACCCCAACTCTTGTGAATGGAAAGCATTCTGTGGCCAGCTCTTTACCGCTTTGTGCGCTGACCCGGGGCGAGGGATTAGTCTCATGACTATCGGCTGTGGGGATACTCGGATGTAATCCAAAAAACAATCAATAGAAGGAAGAACAATGTCAAAGGGATGGAGGATGCTTATAAAGAACTTGGATCCGGGGGGGGATGCAACTTTTAACACTGAATCAACTTTATTTATATAGTTCTTTTAATCGGTTCAATCAGCAATCTACTATTGATATAGTGATCCATTAAGTTAGTATTTTGGCCATGTTAATAACGCTGATCTTTTGTGTTCTTTGTCTAGTGATTGATATAGTTTTGTATCTTAAAAGTTTGAAGAAGAAAAAAAATCATGCTCTATCTTTTTTTTTTTTTTTTTTTTGGAGGTTTGCTCTATCTTCTATTCCTTTCTTTTAGAGTTATAAAAAAGGGTTTCAATTACTTGAGAGAATTTTCTCATGCTATAATAAACACATTTTGTGTGAGCCCACTTCTATTAAAAAATATATATATATTGTACAAAAATCAAAAGGTCACTAGTAGTTATGAAGCACCGACATTTCAAAAATTCTGACGTGTCGTGTCCGACACTCCCCGATACTCCGACAATCCTACACGCATTCTAGAGACTTAAAAAAGAATTCAAATGTTGCGTTGCATTGCATTTTTAGTACCAACTATTAGATTCATTGAATTACGATTACCATTTTATTGAGTTTAATATAAATATTTAGAATATCTTATGTTTTTTACAAAATTGATTGGTATTATAAGTCTAGCTTCACTTTTTTGTTAAATTATTGAATATTAAATATAATATACAGTACATAAATTAAAAATGTTATTTAATATCAAAACGTATCCTAACGTGTCAAAATCTAACCTTTTTTAAAATTAACGTGTCGGAGTGTTGTGTCGTATCGTATCCCGTGTCCTGTGTCGGTGTCGGTGTAACATAGACTAATAGGAGAAAATAATTCTCTTATAACATGAACAAAATTTTTTCCTATAAACAAATACATGAAAATTAAATAATTACAGCGTATGATTATTCGGTTAAATATTTTTATTTGCTTCCCCTTTTAGTGTGTGTGCGCGCGTGTGTATGTAAGTCCAATATCAAATAACAACAGCCTCGAAAGTTACGCGGAACAACGAGTGAAAAGAGCCCATATATTTCTAAGCTTAGCCCAGATTAACAGACCCCGAATTGTGACCAGAAGAGGCCCATTTTAGTGAAGGATATCATCGTCATTTTGTTAATACTTCAGGGTAGAAATGGGTAAGAGAAATTTCTAATCTAGGGTTTAGGTTATGAACCCTAACAAGGAGGATTCTGAATCTAAAGTGGGAGAGTGAAGTTGAGAGGCTGAGATCGAGCCTTTGAGGAGGGAATCGCAACGAACTCCAAAATGGTATTTCTTTCTATTCCGATTATCTTCATCAATTGCTGTAGCCTTTTGCAGTATATATATATATATATATATATATATATATATATATATCTCTCTCTCTGTAATTGATGCGCATTGTGCGATGTGAAAATAGAGGGCTTTGGCATTCTCCTCTTTCAATTTCTCAATAACCAGACAACGTAGATCTCTATTTGGCTTTTGGATTTTCATCTGTTTCGATGTTCCACCAATTATAAGCTATTAGGGTAACGAGATGGCATGGCAAGCCCCTTGATAATTTTTATGATTAAATTATTATCATTAAATTTTTTTTGGCGGAAGATTGAAATCTTTTGTATAGGTACAACTGTGATTACGAAGGTGAAACAAAGTTTTTGAATTTACTCACCAGAGGTTAAACCGTTTTGCTTGTGCAATTCTTTCAGCAGTAAAGATTAGACAAATTTTTGAATGTCTTAATTTTTATATTTTCTGTGTGTTTTGCTTTAGGTTTCTGTGTTTTATTGTCACTGTTTCTGCATGTTTGTTCAGATGATGCCTTCTCTTTGTATCTATATACTATGTTTTTCTATGTTGTTTTGGTAGTTGCTGATCACCTGTGTTCTCTGGTGTTTTATGCAGCCTAAGCAAATTCATGAGATTAAAGATTTCCTTCTCACTGCAAGGAGGAAGGATGCACGCTCTGTGAAAATCAAGAGGAGCAAAGATGTGGTCAAGTTCAAGGTCCGTTGCTCCAAGTACCTATACACACTATGTGTGTTTGACTCTGATAAGGCTGATAAGTTGAAGCAATCACTTCCTCCTGGTTAGTTATTCATAACTATTTCTGCTGATTTGTTTGACTTTTTTTCTTATAAAGCTCTTGTGGTGCTACATGTTAAGATGTAAAAAAATGTAAAACTTTAGATAGGTGAATTGCATAAATGGTATATTTCTGCTTTTGGCCATAAATTGAAACTTTCGAAGTTTTTAGGTGTAATTTATCAAAATGGGAAAGCAAAGGATAAGCTTATGACCAGGAAAATAAAACGGATTACATTGAATGTCTCAACTATATCTTTTATCTTTCTTTCTTAGTTTTAGACGATGTTCTTTGATGAGGAAGATCTATTGGAGATTTGAGTATTTTGTCATTGTCTACTCCTCACATATATATGTAACACCTTTGCAGGTTTAAGTGTGCAGGACCTGTGATTCTGACTGAAAGTAGGTGAAGATCAAGTTTTGCTTTGGAGTTCAGATTCATATTTAGTAAATCGGCTTAGAGATTGTTGTTCTTTTTGTTGCTTATGATTGGGATTATGTTTATGGCGGATTCAACTTGCTTCTGGGTTATGTGGAGTTGATTAAACCTCGTTAATGTTACATTAAAACATTTCCAGTTGTTTCTTCGTTTTGGTTTTGAGCTGAACTATTATGCTGTTGCTATATACAGTTATGAAGAGAAATTAAAACACCATTTTCTCGAGCGTTGCTATTTGTCACGAAGAAAATCATACAAATTTGACTATAAAAGCAAGAATGCATATGAATACATGTGTGGTCAAACCAAGAAATGCGATTTTGAAATAACTGTACACAAAACTATCATCTATTACCAAGTCGCCAACTCAGATTGTAACACTTCCTACTGAAACTTATCGTAGAAATTAGTATTTTCATTTTTTCTTATGATTCATTTCCTTCCTGCACCATTAGTTTCTCCAGCCAAAAGAGCTCGTGCATGACATATTCATATGCATAGATTGAAGCATTTGATGCTCACTGTGGCGGACCCAGATTTTTTACGAGAGGGGGCAAAAATAAATATTAAAATTATAAATATTATTAAGATTAATAAAAGAACTAATTATTATGAATATTTTCTAGTGAGGGACTAACTATTAAGACTTGTCAACTATTATTATTACAAAAATATAATTATATATATATATATATATATATATATATATATATATATATATAATATCAAAGTTAGGAAGGGGTGACCGTCGGCCCACGTCCCTCCCTTGGGTCTGCCCTTGATGCTCACTAGGGCGGACCTAGAATTTTTTACGAGGGGGCAAAAATAAATATTAAAGTTATAAATATTATTAAGATTAATAAAAAGAATTAATTATTTCGAATATTTTCTAAGAAGGAGCTAACTATTAAGACGTACAAACTATTATTATTATAAAAATATAATTATATATATATATATAATATCAAAGTTTAGGGAGGGGCTACAGCCGATCCACGCCCCTCCCCTCGGTCCGCCGTAATAATCCACATACGTGTTGCAATAAACTGTTCAAAAAACAAATTATGGAATTATAAAATTATGGAGAAGTTGTACATAGGGTTGTTCCGTGTATTGCTGCTTAGCAAGTCAAACCATGCTGACAAAAAATCTCTTAGGCATGTTTGATATCTAGTATAGAATAAGGTCTAAAAGTATAAGATTTGATTATATAAGATTTGATTAAATTTTAATACTATTTAGTGTTTGGCATGATATTGTATAAGATAATATATTGTATAAGATAATATCATTCAATATTTGGTAATACACTGTATAATATTAGATAGATTAAAAATAAATATTTTTGTCAAAAATACCTTTTAATAATAAATTTACATAATTCTTCCAAATATATCAGATGATATTATTTTTTATAGAAATATATTGATCAGTGTGTCTAAAAAATATATTAATTTTTATAAAAATAAGAATCTCCAAGATTTTAAAAAATTATATGAAAAATTATTTTTTATTTTAATATACTAATATTAAAATAATATATTAATTCTTGAGAATTGCATTGGTTAATACATCAATCTCTTATTAGGTCTAATCCTACTCTCGTAGGCCTTATTAAGTTCTACATCATTTTGATGTATAAAATGATCATGCTATATAAGCTTATACTATACGATGGTTATACCAAACAATTAAAAATGTCGTAATATATAATATAAGCTTATACTATCAGATCTTATACATCACACCAAACACGCCCTTAAATAGTTATTGCAAATATGATTTGGGAAAAGTGTTTGTCCTTTTAAATGACACAACTTATATTATTTCACTCTTACAAAGAGATATGACCCACATCTTTATTTTTTTTGTTCAGTCTCTCTTACTTTATCTATCTTTTTCTCTCACTTAAAATGACATAACTTTACTTCCTTCGAAATAATACACACTTTTCTCATATGATTTAGTCAAAACAAAAAATAACATGACGCTGAGTGGCACTGGAAGATTCGGAGTTTTACGATATAAAACTCAAGACAAATACAGGTGGAGCTATAAAATCAATTGACAAGGCACAAAACACCTGAATGAAATAATTTCAAAATCCAGTAGGTCAGAAAATAAATGATAATTCAATGAACGAAAAATCACCTTCAAAATTTAGAGTACATATAATAATGAGACAAATGTTCATGGAATGGTCCTAAAGAAAACTGATATTGATTGTAACAAGAAATAAAGGAACAGTAACCAATATGTCATATTTTTGGAATTTATATATCAAATTGCCACGTAAACACTAAAATTTACTAGACTGTCATGCGTTAAAGTTCGCTACGACTATTAGCATATTTGGTAGTCAATGATTTCTTGACATGTGACACTTTCGCAGAAAAAGTTGACTGTCACGTATCTAAGTTCGCTACGACTGATAGTGAACTTGGTAACCAATGATTTCATGACACATGGCACACTTTTGCAGTAAAAGCTGACTGGACTAAGTTCGCTATCAGGGGTAGCGAACTTGGTGTACTATGTGGCACAATCTCGTTATCCGATCAGAATTAATGTACCAATCACAGTCGAAAAAAGAAAACAAAAAAAAGCTATTTAATTAATGTACCAATCATAATTAATGTACCAATCACCAATCACAATTAATATATCAATCACCAATCACAATTAATTTTGATTTTTACGTTAATTGTGATTGGTATATTAATTGTGATGGATAATTGGTACATTAATTGTTTGTGATACCATTGTTACAAATTCGAACGATGTTTGTTAGAGAAAAAATATGTCAAATGAGGTGTCATTGCATAGATCTCGAAAAGTTATATAAAATAAATAAAAAAACATATGATTTGGATATCTGAATCAAAAGTTATAGCCTTCCAAAGTGATTGGTAATTGATACATTAATTGTGATTGGTACGATCGAAAGTTAATCCCATTGTTACACAAATTGTGATTTGTGATTGGTACATTAATTGTGATTGATATATTAATTAAATAGTCATTTTTCTTCGTTTTCTTTTTTTTATTGCGATCGGTACATTAATTCTGATCGGGTAACAAGATTGTACCACATAGCAGACTAAGTTCGCTACCTCTGGTAGCGAACTTAGTCCAGTTAGTTTTTCCAGCAAAAGTGTGTCACGTGTCATGAAATCATTAGCTATCAAGTTCGCTACTAGTTGTAGCAAACTTGGACATGTGATAGTAAGCTTTTCATGCGAAAGTGTGACACGTGTCACGAAATTATTGGCTACCAAATTCGCTAACAGTCGTAGCGAACTTCAACGCGTGATAATCTGGTAAAAAATATTGTTCGCGTGGCAGATCAGTAAAAAATTGCCAAAAACATGGCAGTCTGGTCATTGTTCCAGAAATAAAGCTAAAGATTAAAAAAAAAGAGAAAAAAAACGCTAGGACACAAAACAATTAATTCCTTCTAGAATATTATAATTTTTGGGTTGTGTTATTTTAAGTAAAATCACCATGTTTTAGTATATATTTGTCTATATTTTTTCTTCCAGAAAATTAGGAGAGATAAAAAGAGAGTAGTATGGACTAGAAAAATATAAAAAAATCAATAAATATACCCCAAGATAATTTCCCTTTTAAAGTGATGATTACATTATTTAAATTTCGCAAATAAAATGTTTTGACCAATGTTAATAAAACCGGCCCGGTCCGGTTGACCCGGGAACCGGCCCATCAACCGGTTTTGGAAAAAATAATTTTCAATATTGCAGCCACAAGGATTGGAACTCAAGTCTCTTGAGGATACCTAACAACAGCTTACCACTAGTCTGTGTTAGTTTATTGGTAAATATGCACCATTTAATATATATATAACATATCATTTAATAGAATTATTTCAAAATTGCAACTAGTGGAAATCAAACTCTTGTTGTGAAGATATAAATTATAGTATTTGTCACTAAGCTATACTTGTTTCTTGGTTCTCTTGCACCATTTAAAATATATATTATATAATTACGTATAAAATATAAATTTATATACATATCCGGTTCATGCTGTTGAACCAGTTACCCACTGACTCGGTACCCCGATCGGATGGATCACCAGCCCAGATTTAATAACATTGGTTTTGACCGAAAATAATTAATGATTAAAACTAGATGGTATTTTTTTTAAAATTATTTTGGCATCTTTTACTAAATAAAATTGTCTTGGGCTCGCATTTAACTTTGAAAGGTTTACAAAGACCATGGCCTATATTTTAAATAGGCTTGACCTTGAAGCCCAAGCCTAGCTTGATAATTGTTTTAATGCAAGTATCTTCGAATAATATGTGGTCCGCTTTTGAGTTTTCACTTTTCACCCATATTCACGAGTGAAAAGAATTGTACTTTTATTATTAAATTTAAATAAAAATTAATACAAAAAAATAAATTTAACTATAAATTTACCATATCAACATAACTTTATGCAAATCGCGACTTTATGAATTAATATTTGTTTAAGGAATAGGATATTGTAACAACCAATTAGTGTTACTATCAATATTATTACCAATTAATTTCACTGTTAGATCGATTATGTTGACGCAACGATTATATTTATTTTCATTTTTGTATGATTATGATTTTTCATATTTAATATGAAAATATTAAATATGAAAAATTATGACCATATAAAAGTAAAAATAAATATAAAGTATTAAATATAGATAATCATAACTATACAAAGATAAAAATAAAAATAACCGTTGAATCAACATAAACGTTAAAATTGATTGATAATAAATTAATAGTAACACTAATTAATTGTTAGAATATCTTTATTCTTTGTTTAAACGCTAAAGTGATAAAACCAATATTAAAAAACAAAGTAGGTTGCGAAAAGGACGGCCACCAATTCTAGCATGAGGTGTCTTCCACAAGGAAGGATTTAAAGGTCGTGGTTTTTTTTTTTGTATACGTGACATTGTCAAGACTGAATACATGATCAGCAAACAGTAAAATTAAAACTTGTTAATGTAAGGAAGACTTTTGTTCTTGGACAGTTAAATGTCTCAATTTCCTCGCCCATTACATGACATGCATTAAATATATTTACTCTATCACTCTCTCCCATCCACCTCCACTGCACATAACCAGTAACCACCCATTAAACATATTATCACATCAATAATCACCTTCACTTATTATTACTCATCGGATTATTTGGCTGGAAA